ATGCGCTAAAAGTATTCAACGCGGCGTCGAAGCAAATAAATGTGTAAAAAAAAGAATATAATATAAAAAATATATATATAAATGAAAGTTTTCTCTTTCTTTTTTTGCACTTGTTAAACCAATTGAGATTCTTCGAAGTCATGACGAGAGAGAGAGAGAGAGAGAGAGAGAGAGCTTCTTCTTTCTCAAGTCGCTGGGGTAACATCATGCTAGACCTGCAGGGTCAAGTAACTGGATCGTGACGTATGATTTAACTCGCAACGTGATTTTCTTACGAAGAAGAATTATACAGACGACATGCAATTTACATTTTCTCTGTACCGCCTCTTGAAATTTAATAAACACATTACTTACTTATATGTATGCATACGAATTATAAAGTATAAATGAGCTTCTTCTTTCTCAAGTCGCTGGGGTAACATCATGCTAGACCTGCAGGGTCAAGTAACTGGATCGTGACGTATGATTTAACTCGCAACGTGATTTTCTTACGAAGAAGAATTACCCAGCAAATTATATGCATGTAACCTTTATAGTTCCTGCCGCGATTTAAATTTAACTGGGGAATAATAACTCCTCGTATGAAATCGTTTGCGATTAATTATAAATCCAACACTAATCAATGATATCTTATCTCTCGCATATTTCATTATTTTTATTTGTTACTGATTTTGAAAAATATACATGGTTTGGTTCTCCGAGCGTTTTAGAAGCGTTTATCAGATTTTCTCTCGCGTATTTTTAATTGTCAATGCGAAATTCCAAATTAGATTGAAACTGATTTTGCATAAAATTTAATAAAGAACAAGATTTTCGTTTTGCTCTCTGAAGTTAATTGCGTGCGTGGAAATTCTATGAATAGCTTACAGAAACACGAAGAATTATTGATACAGTCACATTGAAACAAATGACGTTATTTCTTGCTTTAGCCTTTAGCATTTATAGTCCCATAGAGAATAATGCGCGCGATGCTTAAGGCTACATATCGTGGGTGTACAATGGAAATCTTCTACTTTATTCAGTTTCGACAAAAATGCAAATTAATGGCTAGTATAATAGCTCTACGATTTTTAATAACGATCTTATTTTTTATTAAAAAATGATATTGAATACAATCACGTTGATATTCGATCTGTAACTAGAAATTCAACTTTTATTTTTATATTATCGTATCTTTTGACTAGGCGATTTTTGCAGGCAAAAGTAAAAATTTTTATAAAAATTAAATTAAATTATATAAAAAAGAAAATCACGTTCTCTCTCTCTCTCTCTTCTTTTATGCTTGAATCCTACTTTTGCAAAATTTTACTAATTAATGGATTTGATAACGATATCTCTTGCGCGTTTAATTTCACGCATTGCATTTAATCTTCACGTCTGATATCTGTAGCTGTAAGACGGAAGAACCGATTAACAGAAATAATAAACGACATAGTCGATCATAGGTCCTAATCGAGTTACACACATCTGTAAAGCCATGTCGATCTCGATCCCGATTTCTTGTGCGGGAGGGAAAGGAGAAAAGGTTAAACGAGTTAACCCTCGCAGAACCTCGATGACCCACGTCCTCGGTCCGAGTCGACTCTGTGTCGTAAATAATCTCTCCGTGGTAATGCAACGGGTGTTCTGGACATATACACTTTTAGAATACTTTGTGCTATATCTATTGATTCATCGTTCAATCGTTTCCTCAGAAATGTCAAGATGCATGTTCTCCGGAAATAAATTTACGGGCAAAATTAAAGCAAAATTGGATTGATAAGACGAATGAGTTTTATTCTATCGACGTAAAATGTCGATTTATAAAGAATAGTAGTGCAATATCTCGGTTTCGAAAATCTATTATTCTTCTCACGGTTACTTAATAATAAATTATTATATAAATCAAATCAACTGGAGCATCAAAATTACACATCTGATTGTACTATTTTCTCTGTTATCTCTTGTAATCTCTTTTGTAAAAGGTTATCATTATTATTTTGCTTTTATTAAGTCTATATTTTTTAAATAAAATGTCTGTAAATATCATCAAAAAAAAAAGAGAAATTAATTCAAGCGGACGTAGATGATAATATCTGCTTGCTGTGCGCATTTTAATTTTCAAATAAGAAATTTTGCACTTTACGTTTACACGGTATTAATATCGTTAATTAAATCAGTAAAACGAGTTAATGTTAATTTATGCACGAATTATAGCCATCGAACAAAAACATTTTACGGCGAGTTTCTTCAACGGGGGCGTTTAAATTATAAATAATTTCAGTAATGAACAGTAATGAAAGATGATCCGTATGTATGCCAGTGATGCAATGACAACGTCGATGAATTCTTATATCTAACGGGGCACGTTTGCTTCGTTCTATTAGGCACACGTAGGTCAATTTGTCTTTCTAGACCGTGGCGTGTGTTACAATTTGTACAAAGTACAAAATATGTTATGCTTAACATCGTAAGAGAGCTCTCTGATGCATAATTTTTATTTTCCTGATATTTATAAGACACAGAGAAAAGCATCGTACGCGATATTTAATTCCAACTTTCAAAAATACCTATCTTTTTTACTCTCTTTTGCTTCAACATATCGCAAATTAACATTTTGCTTAATATCTTGCGAATAATCGCTTGATCAACGCGACGATTCATCCGAAAGAATACTAATGTAAAAATTCAAGATGAATGTCTTAGAGGCTAAAAAGAGTCGAGGTATCCCCGATTACGAAATAATGCCGAGTGAAAGGAGAGGAGGACAGCATGGTTGGACTACGAAAGGACGTAATATCACTCTGTCGAGAGTTCGACGACACGATCGGGGAAGGAACCATAATCTCTGTGGATCACGTTCTGCACGAGATGGTTCAACGAACTTGAATCGCTCGCGAAGCGGGGCCGTACTTTTCGGCTTCTATCTTTAAGGTAAGGGAGAAGCAGACGGAATCACGAAGGGAGATAAAGTAACCGAAAGAGAACGACAGGACGATTGATCCTGTGATTGATTATAATGTCCCGTTAATCGTGTTATAAATTTACATTACTTGTAATATTAATCGGGAGGAATTAAATGTAAATACATTAATTTATTTAGATTTAACTAATTTTAATATTGGAAGAAATGTTTATTTTTCATGTTGTATCTAAAATTGAAATTGTGTAGTTTACCTTTATATCAAAGTTGAATCTTTTTTTTAAGTTTCCTGAAATTAAATTTTTTAATTCATTTTTCTTTCTTTTTGAATAACTAATCTCGTTTCTCCAAATAAACAATTCTCAATGAATTTTATTACGACTCATATTTTGTTACGGGAACTATCTTTTCTTTACGTCATTATTGCTGATGCTGTAGCGTTTTATTGTACCGTTGTCAGATCGAGTCTTTGTTTCGATCGTAGCACCAAGCATCCATTTATTACCTCTGGCAGCTATCGCTGATCGAGTGAATCGTTTTCCATCCAGCACGTGCTTTAATAGTAACGCGAGTAACGGTCGAGCGAACGTCGAGAGCGTGCTGATAGACGCACGTAAAATCGGTCAACAAGTAGATAAAATCGCAGCTTAGGGATTCCAAGAGACAATAAGCTTGCGGTTTGCACATACTTATTGAAACGGGAAGCCGATTGGCTCCGGTCCTCAATCTTTACAGTAAACATCTTGGCATCTCGCCTGTGTGTTCTAGCGTTTTATACAAGATTGTATTTCGGTATTTCAACGTATAGTAGAATTTTCATTATCCAAACTAAAGATATAAACATTCAAATAAATGTTCAAGCGAATTTTCGAATAATAAAGCAAATGATAAATTTTGCTTATATTTTAGAAAAAAATAATAAAAATCTACGAAAAATTAACAGTCTTTTATATTGTTATAAAATATTCCAATAAAGTACAAGAACATTCAAATAATAAAAATTTGAATAACGGAGGTTCTACACGAAATTGTGACATAAGAAAAAGAATGTTTAGGACATATGTGGAACATATTATCTTTTATATCGTGCGAGAGAACCACATGTTATTTACAATACAAAAACACACTTTTACAGTAGTGCGCCTAGCTCCGTATTTACTTAGCTCCGTTTATTCAGTCTTCGGAGCATATTACGTGGTCTCCAATGTCTTGGCACGTCGTTGCGTAAGTAGGATTACTATGCGAGCATGCGACTCGTAACCTTGAAAGCAAACCACAAACAAGCACACGAATGTCGTGTCTCTCTACCTACGTTCTGACGTCATGTTATCGCCATGTTCGAGCGAGAAAATGGAAACTCTCGGTGACAGTAGACGTTATTCGCGATATGAAGATAATGCATATTTAGGTCATAGTATCTTATGACAAAGATACATTTGTTTCTCCAAAATAGCAGCGTCGCGTTTCCTTCTTAATTAAATGCTTCGATTTTTCCTTAAAATTTTACGCAATGTTACATAATTACCTCAACAAAATTGGAGTTGTTAAATTTCAGATAACTCGGCTAAAAATTATAAAAAGTTTATTTTACATTTTTGAAGATTAATTTATTAATCCGTAAATTATATTGCGACCTACAATCCATTTTGGAAATAACATATGTAAGTATGTTTGTCCTATATCTCAGGATTATTAATCATCCACACACATACAAACAATCTCGATTATATTAAATATATCTGACACTGTCTACAGGCGCATCGATAAAACATATCTGACAGATCGTGGGTAGTGGACGTGAATTTTATCGCGGTTACTTCCGGAAATACATCATGAAAGAAAAAGAGTATACGTTCCGGGACCGTATGTTTGAATATACGCTTTTTATGCTTTGTATGCGACGAAGATTGATAAAGTTTTACGAGATACGCACAAGGCGCATCCATTCAATACGTTTGAGCAATCTGTTTTATAATTAGACATGATACATGCAGAGTTTTTAATAAAAATTTATTTTTCTTTAATATATATTCGTAATTTATTCTTAACAACCTTTAAATATTATTTTATTTTTCATTTTTTTAATAAATATTTTTAATATCAGTTTTTTATACTATCACGAAGAAAGAGAAACTGGAGAGATATAGAAGACGTTAATGTTAAACTTGTGTAGTCAGCGTGTGTCGTATACAACGAAATGAAACTTTATTAACTCACGATGCTAGCAGCTATTACGAAATTTTATGACAAACATTACAGTGCGTTATAAACCAGACAGATACCACAACAATTTTTTTCCATTTAGATATGAAATACGTTTAAAAAAATGAAGAGAATTTTCAATTCGCGAATTGTTCTAATAAAAAAAGCAAAACCATACAATCTCGCGCATCCTTTGATGGTTCAACGTCGCGAAAGGGATTGAATCGCGGCATTTAATCGCGCACGAGCCTGCAATCTCTCTCTAAGGTGAATTACAAGGCATATTACTTCGCACGCGTGGAAATAATCCTCGTAATTAGTCTACGAGCTCGACTGTGTGGTCGCCGAGTAAAAAGCATCGCATCAAATTTTACGGTCTTTCATCTCGACTGAATGCGCGATGTTCGCGCGACATTTGCGGATCGTTCGCTCTTTTGCGATTTTACGCTTTTTTCTCCCGTCTTTTTCTTTTTTTTTTTACTCGGCAGATTTATCGCGCGCCGCAGAATAAAACGCGTTCTGCCTCAATGTAACTGTAGGATTCCGAGTAAGTTTATTGCTCCGAGCGTGTCACGGAAATCATAATTTCATTGCGGGATACGACAGTGCATTCCGGCACGCCTTCGGTGACGTGATAAATAGAATGCTGCAATTATATTAATTAAATACATTACGGAAGAGCGAGAAGATAGGACGCTTCGGACAGCCATGAAGCGGTTTATAGATTTATCTGGAGTGACTGTATCTAAGTACAGGGATACACACTTATCGATTCCTCGATAGCTGCCGCATTCCTGGCCCTAATTGTCTCAGTGTACTCTGTACATGTACACTGTTAATTTTAATTACTTGCGACACGCGGGAATTTTCCCCATCGGTACAAAGTGAAATACCTACGTATGTTATCAAATAGCCAATGCCTTCCCTGTTAATAAAGTCGGGAGACAATAGAGCGTTGATTACATTCCTGCGTCCTGCTGCCAAGTTTAATGGACATTATATCACTCTTGTCCGCTTACTTTATTCTCAGCAGTTTTTATGCTGTAAGAGAGGCAGTATACTAAAACAAGACGTTACAATTTATTCGTTCTCTTACTTGCTATGAAATCATTAGACTAAATAACTAATCTGTACAAGATGAGTTTTATGTACTCTGTGATAAGATCTGTCTGAGAAATGATTTAATTCGAGATTTAAATCATATTTATTAACTTGACTTGGCTTTTCTCTCATCTCTAAAGGATGCAAACCGGTCTTCTAAATCAACCTATTTTATGGATAAAAGATTAAGGAGTACCGTTAAATCATCATTTTGCATTTAAGCGTTAATAAATTATGCTAAAGTGCGGAAAATGATATCGATCTCGAGGACTTGAAGTCGGACACTCCCAAAGCTTATCCGCTTATCCTTAATAGACTTAGCGACGAATAGTAGAACCGTCGAAGTTTTTAAGAATTCACAGGTCGTTTCTCGAAACATGAGTAGGGACGCGAAATACAAGAACGGAATACTACTATCTGGATAAAAGCGGAAATCCTCGCAATTTAAGTAGGTTTATTAAGTAGGCACTGTGCACCGGCTTGCACGCACATATCATCCTGTGGGATAACGCAATAACGAGATTAAATTGTCGCGCGATCGAACATCAACGCAGTACGCGCGCAACAATAAACTTTATTATGGCAAACAAACGTATTTGCATATTATTTTAGAAAAAAAGTCTGAGTTATATATATTTAATCTTCTATAGTTATAAAGAATAATCCTTCTCGACAATTTAAAAAAATCTAATGTTACATACATATGCAGATCCGTGATATTGATTCAATCAAGAGCTTCTTGTATAAGCTTTTTAAGATTACAATAAAAATAGATGGAATTTGAAAAATGCATACATACCGGTTATCGAGCCGGTTTGCGATAGTGTTTTTTTACACGACACTATATTTTCTCGGCACGTTAAAGATTTTCTCTATTTTCACTGATTCCACGGCCAGGAAGTTGTCAGTTTGAGCTTATTACATACCGTAAAGAGCATAATCGCTCACTTAACTTTATTTTAACGGCGCTCGCTTCCCGCAACGCGTCGACGAACAAAGACGCTCGCGTTTTAACCTTAATGGCTTATTACATACCGTAAAGCATAATCGCTCACTTAACTCTATTTTAACGGCGCTCGCTTCCCGCAACGCGTCGACGAACAAAGACGCTCGCGTTTTAACCTTAATTAAATAAAACGCGATGCACATTTGTGCAAAAGTGTATAAACGTACCGACGGTTTAAACATTAATGCGATTACAAAACGTGGCGAAATAATCCGCCATGCCATACTCTAATAGTCGTCCTCAAGAAATTGCTAGCTGATGTCAGTTCTATTCCCGATCGAGTCGTTTGGCTGAACGACATCATTTTTGTCGATGGCGAATAAAAGCTAATCGTGATAGTCCGTTTAATTTCGAATAGCTACTGAAACAGAAATGAAATTTCAAATAATTTAATTTACATATAGAACAATTAGCTACATCTAAATAATCACAATTTAAAAAAATATTATATATATATGTATGTAATTATTTCGATTATATAACTCGATAAATAATATTTTAAAGAAAAGTTGCGACAAAGAACCGGTTTTCAATTGTATTATAAGACCAGGATTTCCTTTTAACGTAATATATAACTTTATCGTATCGTATCATATAAACAGAGAATTGATTGATTAATTTCTCTCTCTCTATAATTTTATTATATAACTTTCGGTGTAAAATTTATAAATCACACGCAAATAGAATTATATATAAAGATACATATGTATAATACAGTTTAATTAAAGATGAATATTTGTATTTGTTTTGGAGTACGGGGTTGTGTTTTAATTTAATATCATACAATATCTCAATTAAGAAATACATAGAAACATGAGAGAAACAGAGATTATTTGAGAATTGATTGATAATGTTAACAATGATTGTATAAATACATTTAATTATATATTTAATACAATTAATTTACGAAACAAATAGTTTTTTTTTTTTTTTTTTTTGTGGAAGAAGAGTACATCTCGATGCAACAACTCGGAATCTGTACAAATAATTACCATTTCATTCAATATGTTGAAATGAAGCGATCAAAATATAATATAGTCAATCAGATTCACAGATTTCTCTCCTCTTTTTTTCATATTTTATTATTTACCCCTCTCTCCCTTTCTTTGCTAAAAATTCACCTTCTCGCCCAATTACGTCCACGGAACAAAGATGCGACTTGGAGCGGCGAAGAGACAAGAGAGTGCGAGTGCAAGCAAAATGCAAGCGAGTACGAGCGAGCCGCAAAATCATGAGTGGTGAGTATAATGACAAGCGCGCTTGGGAAACGAGAGGGGACGGGCGAGCAAGACGGTGCAACGAGGAGAAGAGAGAGAGACGGAACACGCGCGCGATCCGGGCAGCTCGGCCGCGTCGCTCGGCATCGGGCCTCAGTATGCCGCGCAGCGCGCAGGCTCGCGTACACGTTTCGTCCCTCTCTTTCTTTCCTGTCATCTTTCCGCCCGTCTGTGCGTACGTCCTCTCTCTCTGTCTATTTTCCTTCCCGTTTCGCGCGCGCATCGCCCCGAGTATTCACACGCACGCTCCGTATTCCTCGCGTTATTACGTGCGTGCGTCCGTCCGTCGTGCGTGCGCGAGCGCGTGTGCATCGGTCAGTTTGTACGCAGGTACAAACACATCCCGGGATTGGCTCCTCTCGCTCTCCTTGTTTTTTTTTTTTTTTTTTTTTTTTTATTTACGTCCGCGCGCCTCTTCCTGCGCGCTCTCGTGTGAATAGCGACATTCGCGAGTGTGTGCGTATATATGCGTGTGGTTCTCTCTCTCTTTTTTTTTTTCTTTTTTCTTTATGCATGACTACTCGCGCACGAGCGTCGAACGGACAGACAGGTACGCGGAGGACACGTCGTGATCGCGCCACGCCACGCCAAGCCGAGCCGAGTAATAACGGAGTACTCGTTAGTAGTACGTCGTGCGCTCCTTCGCACGAGGAAGGCGCGTTCGAGAGTCATCCTCGTGGAGGAGGATAAATTCGGTGTCCCTTTTCGCCGAGGGCCCTTTCGAAACCGACGACGTGCGTCCGGCGATGTCCGCGCGGCGACGACTCGCGTCGCGCGACCCACATACACGGTGACACGGTGACACACGGGGCGAAAGTGATCGGGACGGGAGTGCACGCGGGAAAATCGAGAGCCGTCGTTGCTGTTCACTGACAGTGTACGTAACAGCGGGGGAGAAGAGAAACGAAGAAGCGCGAGTGTGTACGAAGTAGACGCGTGTAGATGAACGAACTTAACGAGCGAGTGTAACGGTGGAACCGTTGCGAAACTCCTCCTCGGAGCTGAGACGTGGCACGAAATGAAGCGAGCGTATCCGCGAGCGATCGATAACTATAGCGGCACTATAGTCGACTCGGTGAATAGTAAGCGGCTACCAGCCAACCCAACCTAACGGACAACGCGTGACCTCCAGGAGCGGCGCGGCGGGATACGGTAGACAGGTTCGCCGCCGATCCCAATCCGCTCGACGACGGCGACGATATAGAGAGAAAGTTGCGCCGCCTTTTTCTGTGCATCGGAGAAAAGGCGCGTTGGCACTTCTGCGAGAGACAGCGAAGAAGAAAGAAAAAAGAGAGAGAGAGAGAGAGAAAGGGAAAGGGAGAAGAATGCGCGTCTTGAGGACGCGATGCTCGGGAGACTGCGACTTTCCACGATCGCGACTTGACAATAGAACCAAATCAACCGTCCGTCGATGATCGCTCGGTGATTGTCAGGATCGACCAACAATCGATCTAGCGCGCCGGTGCCCCCTCCCCCCGGAAGATTCCTGAGAACGGCCGAGACGGAGCGTCCGAAGCGGAACGCGGACGGAGAGGATTAAAGAGCGAAGAGGAAAGACAAACGGAAGAAGGGCAAGAGAAAGAACGAATAAAAGAGAGAGAGAGAGAGAGAGAGATAGAGATAGAGGGACGGAAGGGGCGGTGAAAGGAAGACGGAGAAAGAAGATATCTTATTTTTAGCTGCGCCGCTTTGCGCGTCGCAAAAACCGGTTTCACGGAGTCCGCTGCGAAGGGAACCGATAGCCTTCGCGAAGGGTTTTCGAGGGAGAAAGATATAATACGTATGTAGATGATAAAGGCGCGCGCGCGCGTTTGTTCCCGTCGAGATAGAAATAGCGGGAAGAGAGAGAGAGAGAGAAAACGCATACACTTATCAGGCGCTTTTAGAGACAAAGATCCCTTCGTTCAAAAATATATGACACGGATCTCTAAAAATTGGATAAAATAAAATGAGATAAGGACATATTTTTCTCTGGAAAAAGAAACGCGCGATACATCCAAGATTCTGCGTACGTGAAAGATCGTGAGAAAGACGAGAGAGGAAGCAGAATGACATACACTCACATACACATACACGAGGAATGTGGAATTTCGCTTAATCCGATACGCGCGATTCTCTTCCACCCCGCCGCACCTTGCTCGCCCCCGCCGTCCCGTGCTCTCCCCCAATCGTAACCACCTCCGCCGCTCCTTCTCGCTCTCTCACGGCACCGGTTATCGATTGCATGCGTGCGTACGAGACAACGCGGCTAATACAAGATTCGATTATCGACCGCGACGACGACGGAAACGCGCGATACATCCAAGATTCTGCGTACGTGAAAGATCGTGAGAAAGACGAGAGAGGAAGCAGAATGACATACACTCACATACACATACACGAGGAATGTGGAATTTCGCTTAATCCGATACGCGCGATTCTCTTCCACCCCGCCGCACCTTGCTCGCCCCCGCCGTCCCGTGCTCTCCCCCAATCGTAACCACCTCCGCCGCTCCTTCTCGCTCTTTCACGGCACCGGTTATCGATTGCATGCGTGCGTACGAGACACAACGCGGCTAATACAAGATTCGATTATCGACCGCGACGACGACGACGGCGACTGGGGATACTTCACCAATCCTGACGGTGAGTCACTGGCAGACGCGCGTGATCGGTTTTATCAATTAAGGTTGCGTGAGTCATTTCGCAAATAAGCGAATTCTTTCTCGCGATCTCATTCGCGGGATCCCCCGGCCGTTGCCTTTTTGTCAAAGTTCTTAGTTTCACTCCGCACGTGATAAAGAATATTTTTATTGTCGAAGAAAGACACGCCCGATTGAGGCCCCAGTCTACTCTAGCAGTATGAAAAATTGATGATATTTTTAGGAATTTTTTTTTTAGGGGTATTAAAAGTTGATTATTTTGACATTTAACATATGTTTTTATCGATGTTTAAACGGTACGTCAATATTTTTAAATCTTGGATATTTAGTTTTTTTTTTTTGTTTAATCCTCGCGAGTCTCTATGCGTAGCGTGTTCAAAAATGCATGATTCGCAGTGACATACATACTGCTCCTCGTGTAATTGTCTGAAGAATATTAGAGAGAATATTAAAACATTAAAAAAAAACTCGACCGTAGAATATTTTTGGAATACTTAAACCTCATTAGAAAAAATTGAAAAATAAAAAGTAGTGTTATTTTAAAATTAGATATTTCAATTTTACTGAAATTTTTTTCATTTCTTAAAGATTACAAAAATATTAAATTTAACAGACAATTACACGAGAAGCAATATGTCACACTGTCATTTTTCCCATCTGAATTATATCAATCTGATTTCTATTCTTATTAACTGTCTGTATATACTAGAGGATTTTTCCCGTTCAAAATGGATTAAATAAATTAAATTTTTGAACACGCCACACTCAGAGGTTTGTAATGACCAAAAAAGGTTAAATATCCAAGATTTAAAAATATTAATATATTATTTAAATATCAATAAAAACATGTAAAACGCTAAAAGGATCTCTCTCTCTCTCTCTCTAATATTCTTCAAAAAATATTTCTAAAACTCATTAATTTTTTATATTGCTAGAGTAAACTAGGCCCTTAATAAAATTGAGACAGATATTGTATAATCGAATTGTTGAATCGAGCGTGATAGGTCGATTGTTAATTAAGATCGTTTGTTACGCGCGACTTGTCTCGCATTTATCTTATATATATAAATTTACTCGCGATCGATGCACGATCTATCTTTGTCACAATTTACTCCAAAAAAGATTTCTAAGACTTAAACTGAGAAAAGGGGAATATCGTTTAATTAAGTTTTAATTAAGCGCGTATACAATAATGAACGACGAGATCTCGAGTTGCGTTGATACTAACAATTAAGAAAATCTGCTTAGAGTTGCCATCTCTTCTTATAGGCTATGATTGTGCTATGATGAAGGGGGAAAAGGGGGAGAAGGGGGATTGAATTAACGTCGACCGTTGGTGCTCTATAATTAAGGCCAACTTTACTACTTCTCTTCTCGCGATATATAATGTTGATATTACAATATCCCGTGCAAGACATACGCGATACATTATTTCACAT